TCCTTCCTTCCTCTCCATCTTTCTTCCTTCCTTCCTTCCTTCCTCTCCATCTTTCTTCCTTCCCTCCTCCCTTCCTTCCTTTCTTCCTCCCCATCTTTCTTCCTTCCTTCCTTCCTTCTTCCTCCCCATCTTTCTTCCTTCCTTCCTTCCTTCCTCTCCATCTTTCTTCCTTCCCTCCTCCCTTCCTTCCTTCCTTCCCCTCCATCTTTCTTCCTCCCCATCTTTCTTCCTTCCTTCCTTCCTTCCTTCCATGCCTCCTCCTCCTCCTCCTCCTCCTCCCTGTCCTGACGAAAAGTTCCAAGGGCGTCGTGAGAGGCGACCGGCAGCCGGCCGTTGTTAGGATAGCGTTGTTTACCTTCCTTGTTATCGGAAGTTTCACGCGGAGGAGAATAACTTATCTGTGAATGTTTGTTCGTGACATTCACTACACTCGAGAGGGGTTGGGGGGGGGTTGGGGGTTGGGGGGGAGGGGGTGATGTGGGGGGGGAGTAAGGAAGGGGGTGAGGGGGTGATGTGGGGGTGGGGGAGTAAGGAGGGGGGGAGGGGTGATGTGGGGGTGGGGGAGTAAGGAGGGGGGGGAGGGGTGATGTGGGGGTGGGGGAGTAAGGAGGGGAGGAGGGGTGATGTCGGGGTGGGGGAGTAAGGAGGGGGGAGGGGGTGATGTGGGGGTGGGGGAGTAAGGAGGGGGGGAGGGGGTGATGTGGGGGTGGGGGAGTAAGGAGGGGGGGAGGGGTGATGTGGGGGTGGGGGAGTAAGGAGGGGGGGAGAGGGGTGATGTGGGGGTGGGGGGGATGGTTTGGGAGTGGGTAAGGGGCGGTTTGCGGGTGGGAGGTGGGTGATGTGGGGTGGGAGGTGGGGGTGGGGGTGGAGGTTGGGGTTGGGGGTAGAAGGGGGTGTAGGAAGGTAAGGAGTGTTAGAGGGGGGGGAGGGGGAGGGGAACAAGGGGTTTTAATGAAGGAGTTTGGGAGAGAAGGATGAGATTCGGGGGAGGGGGTGGGGAAGGGGTGAGTGGAAGGGGGAGGGGGTGCGGAAGGGGGAGGGGGTGGGGAGGGGGTGAGTGGAAGGGGGAGGGGGAGCGAGTGATACAAGCGGTGATATTCATCCGTCCCCGCAGATAGAAGCAAGCACGTACATAAGGAAATAAACGCACAGAAGCGCAAGTATATAAAGCGAAATTACGAACAAACAAACATACAAGCACACATATGCAAGTACACCCCCCCACACACACATATACACAATCACACAAACACATACACATACATGTTCATTCACACACACACTCACAGAAAAACACTCAATCACGCGCACACAATCACACAAAAACACACACACATACCCGCTCGATCACACGCACACAATCACACACACAAAAAAAAAACACCCGCTCAATCACACGCACACAATCACACAAAAACACACACACATACCCACTCAATCACACGCACACAATCGCACAAAAATACACACAAAATCACACAAAAACGCACACACGTACCCGCTCAATCACACGCACACAATCGCACAAAAACACAAACACACTCCCACACGCACACGCACACAATCACACAAAAGCGCACACATGTACCCACTCAATCGCACAAAAACACACACACAATCCCACATGCACACGCACACAATCGCACAAAAAACACACACAATCCCACACGCACACGCACACAATCGCACAAAAACACACACACAATCCCACACGCACACGCCGCCCTGGCTCGCCCGCCTCAGAGCCAGCTCCTTAAGAATTATAATGTCTAAGGCCATAATCCTTAAAGCCGGCGTCTTAGAAATTCCAGAACGACTCTTTCCTCAGAGAACATTATCATGAATTTCAATATTATCAAGGTAATATTATCCGGAGTAATAACGGTGGAACTTGTAACATTTTCCCTTTTAAACTGCACCGGACCGAGCTCTGCCGCCGTCGCCCCAGTTATGACTCTCTCGCTGTCTCTTTCTCTCTCTCTCTCGCCGTCTCTCGCTCTAGCTGTCTCTCGCTCTCGTTCTCGCTGTCTCTCGTTCTCGCTCTCGCTGTCTCTCTCTCTCTCTCTCGCTGTCTCTCTTTTGTTCTCGCTGTCTCTCGCTTTCTCTCTCGCTCTCGCTGTCCCTCGCTCTCGTTCTAGCTGTCTCTCTCTCGTTCTCGCTGTCTCTCGCTCTCTCTCTCTTGCTGTCTCTCGCTCTCGCTCTCGCTGTCTCTCGCTCTCGATCTAGCTGTCTCTCGCTTTCTCTCTCTCACTATCTCTCTCTCGTTCTCGCTGTTTCTCGCTCTCTCTCTCTTGCTGTCTCTCGCTCTCGATCTAGCTGTCTCTCGCTTTCTCTCTCTCACTATCTCTCTCGTTCTCGCTGTTTCTCGCTCTCTCTCTCTTGCTGTCTCTCGCTCTCGCTCTCGCTGTCTCTCTCTCTCGTTCTCGTTGTCTCTCGCTTTCTCTCTCTTGCTGTCTCTCTCTCGTTCTCGCTGTCTCTCGCTTTCTCTCTCTCGCTGTCTCTCGCTTTCTCTCTCTCTCTCTCTCTCTCTCTCTCTCTCTCTCTCTCTCTCTCTCTCTCTCTCTCTCTCTCTCTCTCTCTCTCTCTCTCTCTGCATGTACGACCCTCTTCTGTGTCTACATATACATGTACGTGACACACATATACATACACGTGTGTGTGTGTGTGTGTGTATGTGTGTGTGTGTGTGTGTGTAGATGTATGAGCGTGTTCTTTAAAACAAATCGGTCGTTCTTTCTCCTTTCTTACGACTCGCCGATATGGGAACTTCCTAGCCCGTGCTGTGCGGCCAGACAGGGAATGGGTGTCCGAATAAGTGAGACGCCATTTTAGTGGGGGGGGGGGAAGAGGAAGAAGAGGAGGATGAAGGAGGGGGGGGGAAGGGAGCGAAGGGAGAAGTGGAGAGGGAGGAGGCGAAGGGGGATGGGGAGGAGGGAGGAAAGGGAGAGAGGGGGGCAGTATTTGTTTGACTCGGAGACAAATTTTACTTTTTTGATATATTATCTATTCAATTTTTTATTTAAAATATCACTCGTGCCATTCCTTGAAACCACCTCTAATAAAACATTTCTCTTTCTTCACAGAAAAAAAACATATATATCGACTAAAAAGGGGGGGTGGATAAAATAAGCTTACGTATGTGAAACAGGGAGTGTGGAAACCGCAGAGTTTTATTCGGGCCTGCAAATCGCCCCGGTAATAATTGACTACTGCTGAATGAAATTGTCAATTTAGGTGATCCTCTCATTGGTAACAACATTTTATAATGGCGATATCATTTTCGTCGAGCCTGAATTAGATCCGCTGTCATAACGAGAGAGAGAGAGAGAGAAAGAGAGAGAGAGGGAGCGAGAGAGAGAAAGAGAGAGAGGGAGTGAGAGTGATAGTGAGAGAGAGAGAGAGAGAGAGGAGAGAGAGAGAGAGAGAGAGAGAGAGAGAGAGAGAGAGAGAGAGAGAGAGAATGAGTGTGAAAGAGAGAGAGAGAGTGAGCGTGTGTGTGTGTGTGAGAGAGAGAGAGAGAGAGAGAGAGAGAGAGAGAGAGAGAGAGAGAGAGAGAGTGAGAGAGAGAGAGAGAGAGGGGGGGGGAGCTGGAGAACGAGATAAAAGCGGAGCAGATGAAAGCACTAGAAACATAAAGGCAGGTAAAGGGGGAGATAAAGGAGGAGAGAAAAGCGAGAAGAGGAAGCAATAGAAAAGACAAAGAATCGCCTAGTTCTTTCTCTCTCTCCCTTTCTCCCTCCCTCCCTCCCTCCCTCCCTCCCTCTCTCCCTCCCTCCATCCCTCCCTCCCTCTCTCCCTCCCTTTCATCTATCTCTTACCATCCTATCTCCCTTTCTCAGTCTCTTCCTCCCTCTCTTTTCCTTATCTCCTTCCTCCCACTCCCTCCCTCCTTCCCTCCCTTCCTCCTTCCCTCCCTCCCTCCTTCCCTCCCTCCCCTTTAGATAATCATCTCGCCTCCGATTTAAAGCAAAGCCGATATGAGACTCGAAAGCAGCCGTCTCCTTTGCCCGCCCACACGATCTCAGCCGAGCGCTCTCTCTCTCTCTCTCTCTCTCTCTCTCTCTCTCTCTCTCTCTCTCTCTCTCTCTCTCTCTCTCTCTCTCTCTCTCTCTCTCTCTCTCTCTCTCTCTCTCTCTCTCTCTCTCTCTCTCTCTCTCTCTCTCTCTCTCTCTCTCTCTCTCACGCTCTCTCTCTCTCTCTATCTATCTATCTATCTATCTTTGTCTCTATCTCTATCTTTATCCCATCCTACCTGCCTGTCCTGTCCCTCCTCTCCCACATTCCTTCCCTCCTTCTCTCCCTCTTACCCTCCCTCCCTCCCTCCTTTCCACCCTCATTCCCTCTCCCTCCCTCCTTCCTTCCCTCCCTCCTTTCCACCCTCACTTCCTCTCCCTACCTCCCTCTCCCTCCTTCCCTCCCACCCTCCCTCCCTCCTTTCCTCCCTCATTTCCTCTCCCTACATCCCTCCCTCCCTCCCTCCCTCCCTCCCTCCCTCCCTCCCTCCCTCTCGTGGCGGGGAAGCTTTGTGCCATTCTCACCCTTAAAGGCAAGTAGTTAACGTCTTAACAGGCATTATTCTAGTAACTTACAGCTCCTCCAGTTATTGCTTGCGGTTCGGTCGGGAAGCCACGGCCGGGCTTTTCTGTTTCTTGCTTAACTTGTTTAACTCCAAAGCGAAGCCGATCGGGATTTTTTTTGTTTGTTTGTTTGTTTTTTTCATTTTTTTTCGTTTCTCTTCCTTTTTGGTTTTAATGTTTTTTTTTCCTGTTCTTTTTTTTTGGGGGGGTGGCTTTTTGTTGTTGTCTTTGTTTCCTGTCTTTTGTTTTGTTAATGTTTTTTGTTTGTTTGTTTGTTTGTTGTTGGATTTTTGTTGTGGTGTTATTATCGTTGTTATTATTATTGTCGCTTTTTCTCCTTTATTTTAATTTTCTTTCTGTTGATTTATAAAGGAGGAACAGACCCCTCTAAACTCATCTCTTCCTCTCTCCCCCCCCTCACAG